TAAAAAAAAAATAAAGAAAAATAATAATATATACAGTGTGTGTGTGTGTATATATATATATATATATATATATATATATAATCAAGGCATGTTTCCAAATTAAACTTATCAGTGCTAAATTACTAATAATTTTGTATTTATATGCACCAATAAACTGCAATATTTACCTACATATACTGACACAAACAAATCTACTGAAACAATCTGTTTGATTGCTGGAAATGAATCTAGCTGGTCTGAATTTTTGCATTGCATTGCATTGCAATGTAATAATATAATATAATATAATATAATTACACCAAAGAAATTAATCATAATAAAATATAAAGTAAAATAATAAAATAAAATAAATTGAAATTAGAGACTATTGAAATAAAATAAAATATTATTAAAATACAATACAATACCAATCAGAGAAACTATTAAAATTAAATTAAATTTGAGAAACTATTAACATAAAATAATACAATAACTAACATCTACTTAACCAATCAGTTTTATTGCTGGAAATGAGTCTAGCTAGTCTGCATTTTTGCAGTGCAATGCAATACAATAAAATAAAGTAAAATTACACCAAAGAATCTATTTAAATAATAATTTAAAAAAAACAAAGCAAAGAAAATATTAAATTAAATAAATTTAAATTAGAGACTATTTAAATCAAATAAAATATTAATAAAATAAAATACTATACAAATCAGAGAAACTATTAAAATAAAATTTAAATGGGAGAAACTACTAAAATAAAATAATAAAAATAAAATTTACATAAGAGTAGTGAATAAAATCAAATAAAATCAAATCAAATATCCAGCTGTACCTGTGACCAGAAGACGTTAGTGGCATTGTGACCGCACTCTCTATAGTGTTCCTGGCAGCATCTGTCTGGAACTGTTTTCTCCTGCAGGGCATCATGCCAGTCTGTGTGCCCAGTAACGCCACAACACTGCCACTGAGAGACAGAGTGAATATTCAGATTCATCATTTACACACCGAGCAAAGAAAATTTCTGCAGACGCCTGCATATTGTTCAGTACTGGAGGGCTTCATGAGTTATCTTCCATAATTCTGTGGAGAGTAGCTGCGGATAAGATGTGGCCAAATCAATGACCCTATATCACACCTGCACTCATTCACACACACCTCAGCTTGGATAATGTTCCAGGCATTGCGGAGGCCGATGTTATTGTCCGTGTTGTAGAGCTTCAGGCCATCTTTCAGATCCTGCTTAGCGTTCTCGCTCACCTGCAAAAGAGTCACTTGATGCATTTGTAATCCGAATATGAGTTACAGAGTCAA